AAAAAAAAAAAAAAAAAAAAAAAAAAAATTAACAGGGAAAAGATATATGGTTTAGTGAATGTGCTGTGTCTGGCTCTAAGCTTCTCAAGCTGAAATAAATTCCAAGTGTGGCAGATCAAAATGTGTAAAAGGGAAAAATGTTTGTAAATTTGATGACAAACAACTAACACAAAATAGCAGAGACAAAGACAACCAGAACAGAAATGGGCAAAGGCTACAAAGAAGCCAGTTCATAAGGCAGCAAAAATTGGCAAGAAACAGTGAAAACATTATTTGGTGTCACTTACAACTAAAATATGCAAATGAAAGCAGACACCATTTTCCCACCTACCAGACTGACAAGAATTAAAAAGGCTGACGATAATGGATGTTGACAGGGGGATGAGGAAACTTACTTTCACACCCTGTGGAGGCAAACAAAACTGCTACAATCCTTTTGGAGGGCAATTTAGCTGTATCTCAAATTAAAAAACCAATTCCACTGGACACGGCAGCTCCTGCCTATAGTCCCAGCTACAAAGAAGGCCGAAGTGGAAGAACCATTTAAGCCCTGGAGTTTAAGAGCAGTGTGGGCAACACAGTGAGATCTTAGTTCAAGAAAAACAAAACAACGATGATTTAAGGATAAATTACTTATAGTCACTCAGCCAATAAATAGTTACTGAGTGCCTAACACACCAGGCATTACCTAAGCATTGATGCAGAAAGATCTCCACTACAAGTGACCAAAGTCAGATGTCAGAATAATGTATAGGGAATGGTCTCATTATTGCAAATTTCTGTTTCTTTGATTGTTTGAGACAGAGTCTCACTCTGTTGCCTAGGCTGGAGTGCAACAGAGCATCATCATAGCTTCACTGCAGCTGCTAACTCCTGGGGTTAAGGGATCTTCCCACCTCAGCCTCCCAAAATACTTAGATTACAGGCATGAATTACCATCAATACTATCCTTCTACAGTATTCTAAATAGTATATAAACAGATATTTTCCCCTCCACAATATATAAGAAACAAAATGTAGCATACAGATACAATGGAATTCAGAAAATTCTGACACACGCTAAAATGTGAATGAACTTTGAAAACAGATAGAAAGGACAAAATACTGTAGGATCCCAATTATGTGAGATATCCTGACAGCAGATCCACAGTGACAGTAAGAAGAACAAGGGCTGCTAAGGCCTAGGAGGAGGAACAGGGTTACTGCTTAATGGTCAAAGAGTTTTGGTTTTGGAAGAGGAAAGTCCTGGAGATGGATGGTGTTAATGGTTTCACCATGTGAACATACTTGTCACTAAACTGTATACTTGAAAAAAAGGCTGAAATGGTAAGCTTCATGTTGTGAATATTTTACCACAATAAAAATCCCAAAATAAATTTAAAAAGTTATTTCCATAGGAATTTCATTTTAAACCTTTCTCTAGCATTTGAACTTTTTTTTTTTTGAGACAGAGTCTCAAACTGTCCCCCTAGGTAGAGTGATGTGACATCACAGCTCACAGCAACTCCTAGGCTCAGGCGAGTCTCCTGCCTCAGCCTCCCAAGTAATTGAGACCACAGGCGCCCACCACAATGCCCGGCTATTTTTTGGCTGCACCCATCATTGTTGTTTGGTGGGCCGGGGCTGGATTCGAACCCGCCACCTTAGGTGTATGTGCCTGGCGCCTTAGCCACTTGAGCCACAAGTGCCGAGCCTAGCATTTGAACTTTTTTTTTTTTTTTTTTGAGATAGGAGCCTCCAGCTGTCCCCCTGGGTAGAGTGCCGTGGCTTCACAGCTCACAGCAATCTCCAACTCTTAGGCTCAAGCGAGTCTCCTGCCTCCGCCTCCCAAGTAGCTGGGACCATAGGCGCCCGCCACAACACCCGGGTATTTTTTTTGGTTGCAGCCGTCATTGTTGTTTGGCGGCCTGGGCTGGATTTGAACCTGCTACCTTGGGTGTACGTGGCTGGCGCCTTAGCCACTTGAGCCACAGGTGCCGAGCCTGAACTTTTAATCATATGGATACATCACTGTTATGAAAAGCAAAATAAAAATAGAAAAGTACCTGTTTTTTAAGGCAAATAAGTAGCACCATGGAAGTTTTCAGTGAGCAGATTATGAGGCAGTAACATTCCTGCCAAGGGTTGTACCCTGTAGTGTCCCTATGTCACCCTGTGTGCCCCTGCTTGTTCTGCAGAGCTGGCCTGGGCTGATCCCTGCCCCAACAGATCTGAGATACCAGGAGCTCTTATAACACTGACTCTCTTAGCCTTACAGCTTTGTTGGACAGAACATGAGGTGGCCAAACCCAAGCCTGTCTTGAGTCCTCCTGGACTCTAAGAATTCTACATCTAAGTAATTGAGTCAAATTTTCCAATACCGATGAGTAAAAGGTACAATACTTATTAAGGTCAAGGGTAACCTGTCCCTAGAGGTTGTTTAGACTAAAAATATTTTAAGTTTGAATCTTATTTATGATAATGCCAATTTAAATATTTTTGTTTCAAAGCAATTAAAGACATTTATCACCACCATCTGCTACTACTATTATATTTCTATTGAAATAGCTTAGAAGCTATAATCTGTGTACACAATACATATATACCCACCCCAGGGAGGTCATCAGAGTGATTTAAACACTCATTTCTATGTCTTATAGATTCAAAACCAATGCTTAGAAACAGGAAAGGTAAGAGAAGCCACACATAAAAATAAAAGGATAAAGGCCCAAGATGTAGCCTATTCTGTGTTTGTAAGAAAATGATTCCGGCAGCTGGGATGAGGCAACACAGCAGATGGGAAAAGTGTGGGTTAATGACATATATCACAGTGGTGACCGAGTTTCATTAGGAATCTTATTAGAACACACACATGCAGCCATGTAATAATTATAGCAGTGACTGCCATAATTATTACCTTCACCAGAAATCTTATTAGAACATACACATGCAGCCATGTAATATAATAAATAAGCTAAGATATTTTTTTTGCAGCTTTTTCCTTCTCTTTTTTTTAAAACCCAGAGTCTTACTCTTGCCTCAGGCTTAGAAAGCTGACTCAGCCCCTAGCAGAATGGTAAAAATCTGAACTCAGAATGCTGCTTTCCACAGAAAAACAAATAAACCCAATGACTACAAACAGAGAATTAGTTTTGAATAACGGCCTGGACTCTCAGAAATGTCAATGTCATTAAAGTCAGAAAAGTGCCTGTTCTGTACTCAGAGAAAAACCAGCTATGAAAAACATTTGGGGACACAGAAACGTGCCTACAGCCTGCAGAGGACATACTGTCATCAACGTCCTTTTTGAAACATATGCAGGAGCACTCAGGGGAGAGCTGTCCCTTGTATGCAAGTGGGCACATGTGGTCAAGTGATATTGACCCACATGGTGCAATAGGGCTGTCTTACTATTCTTTCAATTTATCTGAAGGTTCAAAGCTTTTCAAAAAGTAAAATTCTTGGAGTTGCTACTTTTTTTTTTAAGAGAGATCAGGTGAAGAAAGATTTCTTTTTTGAGACAGAGCCTCAAGCTGTTCCCCTGGGTAGAGTGCCTTAGGCACTTGAGCCACAGGCGCTGAGCCTGAAGAAAGATTTCTTTACAATGACTCTTTTGACCTGCTCTTAAAAGAAACATAAAGCCATAAATTTTGAACTATTCTTTAATTGTGGATCTACAACTCATTCTAACATCATGGTCCAAATAGGTCCAAAGTAGGCCTTTCACTTATCTAATATTGTGGGAGTAGCTATGAGGTTGCTTTGTGTTACGGGTTTGACAGAGACAATCCTGTGACCCTCAATGGAGCTGTCACATTCTATCACTTTTTGTACTTTTTTTTCTTTGAGACAGAGCCTCAAGCTGTCCCCCTGCGTAGAGTGCCCTGGCATCACAGCTCACAGCAACCTCCAACTCCTGGGCTCAAGCAAGTCTCCTGTCTCTGCCTCCCAAGTTGCTGGGACCACAGGTGCCAGCCATAATGCCTGGCTATTTTTTAGTTGCAGCCATCATTGTTGTTTTGGCAGGCCCGGGCTGGATTCGAACTTGCCACCTTAGGTGTATGTGGCTGGTGCCTTAGCCATCTGAGCCACAGGCGCTGAGCTTCACTTTTCGTACTTTAAAAAAGTTTTCCGGCTCGGCGCCTGTGGCTCAAGTGGCTAAGGCGCCAGCCACATACACCTAAGGTGG